ACTCGCAGGTAGGTGTGCTGTTCAGAGAGGAGAGACAGAAGGGAAACCCCCACAGCCCCACCCCTCAGCAGATCCTTCCTGTCTGCAGGAGAGGAGGGAACTCGGAGGGCTTTCTGGAAAGACAAGCTGGGAAGAGGGGGTGTTTTGTCCCTAGGGCAAGGACCAAGGTCCTGCCAGGAGTTGCAGTGCAGCTCAGGAAGCCTGGCTGGGCTGCCTCCAAGGTCACCCCGTAAGCATTTGTCCCCCAGCCTCAGATGGCGGGAGAGGTGGCTCGGTGATTAAGAGCACTGGCTGCTCCTCCAGAGGACCCAATTTCCAGGTCCCCACATGGCAGCTCACAACGTAGCTCCATTTCCAGGAGCTCTGACACTCACACAGACAGACAGACAGACATGCAGGCAAAGCACCAATGCACATGAAAATTATACGTGTGTGTGTGTGTGTGTGTGTGTGTGTGTATGAATCACAGCCTGCCAAGACGCTAAAAGAAGCAGTTACACATACAAGTTAAGTGGATGGCAGGAGTGGACACATCAGCTGGACCCTCGAAGTGTGAGTCAGGAAGGGCTTTGAGGGCCAGATGAGGAGCCCCTAGGCAGGGGCTGCAGTGTGCAGTCTGGGCTAGTTGGGACCACAGAACACTGGATGAGAGCTGGAAAACTGTCCCAGCCCAGAGACGCTGGGGGCTTCACTTCCCTGGTCGCCAAGCCGTATAATCACCGAGCCACCTCTCCAGCCCCTACCCCATTAAAAAAAGAAAGATCTTAGAAGTTATTTTATTTTACAAGTATGGATGTTTTTCATGCATGCATATATGGGTGAGGCTCTGCAGAGGAAGCCAGCAGAGGGCATTATACTCCCTGGAACTAGAATTACGGATGATTTGTGAGCCACCATTTAGGGCTGGGAATCAAAGTTTGTTAACCACTGAGCCGTCTCTCCAGCCCCCCCCCCTTTAAAGATTTATTTCTTTTTATTTTCTGTGTAGGGGTGCTTAGCCTGCCTGTATGTTTGTGCGCCATGTGTGTACTCAATGTCTAAGGAAGCCAAAAGAGGCCATCAGACTCCCTGGAATGGCAGCTATATACAGCAATGAACAACCAGATGGATGCTGGGAATTGAACCAGGTCCTTTGAAAGCAGCTAGTGCTCTTTAAGCTGCTGAGCTAAGGGGACTTGTTGGTTCTCCTCCTGCTTTTGGGGACTGCCTCCCAGCAGCTCCTGAAATCAGAAGGAGCAGGAGAGCATGGGATTCCACACCCCAGGAACAGCTGAGGCCAGTTCAACTCTAATTCCAGAGAACAAAAGCTATCTACCCCCTGGGGAGTGGGTGGGGAGCTCCAAGAACAGGTGTACTTAAAAGTGCTTGGAACTAGGCACTTGGAGGATGCTTGGTTTGCATCATACTGCAAGCTCCTACCATAAAAAAATCTAATTAACATATAGGCACAGGGTGGGTTAGAGGAGCCTTTCTCTGAAGACACTCTCCAGATGAAGTCAGGCAGAGAGCCTGGGACCCGCTGAGGGGAGTCAGTGCTGCTCACAGTGGCTATCATCCGGACCAGGCAAGAACTGCAACCTCAACCAGCAGGGTACCTTCAACTGGGACTTTCTCCAGGCCTGGGTTAATGGGGCTGGAGAGATGGCTCGTTTGGCTCAGCAGTTAAGAGCACTTGCTGCTCTCCAAAGGACCCAAGTTTGGATCTCAGCACCCATGTCAGTCAGGTAACTCCATTTCTACAGGATCCCACACTCTCTTCCGGTCTCTGCAGGAGCCCTCCTCCTGCAGAGTCCCCCCACCCACAGGACAACACAGACACATTTAAAAGAGAGAGAGAAAACCTTATTTAAGGGACCTGAGCAGCACCCAGGCATTTGCAGGCTTCTGGCGCCCCCTCGTGGCCACCACCTAGCATTGCAGAACTTTCTTCTCTTCCAGTCTGTTCCAGGAGATAGGATGTGCCCATCCCTTACGCCTGGGTATGTTCCCCAGTGACATCAACTTTCGGGGTTTTCCTTTAAATTATTACACATTTACTTATGTGAGAGGGAGGCAGATACACGTCATGGCATGGGTGTGGAGGTCAGAGAACAATTACTGGAGTCTGTTCTCTTCCACCACATAGGTCCCAGGGATGAAGATCACGTCCCCAGGCTTGGTGGCAGGTGCCTTTATCTACCGAGCCAGCTCTCATGGCTTCACCTTGGTTTTGAAGCAGGGTCTCTCACTGTCCAAAGGCTCACGTGAGTAGATGAGGCTGGCTGGCCAGCAGGCCTCAGGGGTACACAACTCTACCAGTGCTCTGATTGATTTCAGCTGGGTGCCGCCACGCCCAGCTTTTTTTTTTTTTTTTTTTTTTCTTAAACATGGGTTCTTTCTTGCAAGGGACCAAACTTGGGTCTTCATGTTTGTAAAGCAAATGCTTTACCAACTGAGCCACGTGTTCAGTGGGCAGCATTGTCCTGAGGACCTGGACGTGTCCTGAGCAGTGTGTAGAACGATGTCCTCAACCTAGCAGGGCACGTTGGGAAAATGTTGAGCCTGTTTCCCTGCCTGTGAAGGGGCCTCTTGGCTGCACCACCTCTCAGGGAGTGGGGAGTCCCCAGTCTCTGAGTGCAGTGGTTGGGAGGGCTCTGTAAGCACGTCAGTTCTGCTCCCTGACACAGGAGAGGAACTGGAAATCAGGGGTCTCCTTCACCTCACAGTCCAACCTGCCCCTTAGTGTCCTACTCCAAGACTTGAGGAAGAGGCTGCACAGCCAGAGAGCACAGGACTGGAGGAGGGAACAGAGGACAAGGACGAAGCCAAAGCCTTCAGGTGCCACCTCCATCTCCATGGCAGACCCCAGATGCCCTATGGCACAGAGCACCACAAGCTCCTGCGCCTGAAAACTGTCACAAGCCCAAGAAAGACATCTCAAGGGGTGCCGGGGACAGATGGTGGCACGTGCCTTAATTTCAGTACTGGAAGGCAGAGGCAGGCGGCTCTCTGTGAGCTGGGGTCCAGCCTAATCTACACAGCATGTTCAAGGCGAGCTAAGGCTACACAGTGATACCCTGCCTAAAAGCAAACAATACGCATGAGAAGAATTGGAAGACAGAGATGAGGGGTTTCTTTTTTTCCGGGAAGATGACGAAAGAGAAGCGGGTTGGGGGGTGGGCAGTGGTGGGTCCAGGCAGCTCCAAACTTGACTCACAAACCAGAGAGGAACATGGACACTCACACATTCCCCAGAACCAAATGGGCAGAAGGAGCCCAGGTGACCAGCACCGCAAGGCTAAACCTCGCTACGGGGGATAAAGTTATCTAAAACCAGACGCACAAGGGTGTGTGAGGATAACACTTCCACAGTAATCTCTGCCCCCCACTCCCTTTTAAGACACTTTGTTTACTTGCATTTCTTATTTTTATTTACCTATTTCTGAGACAGGGTTTCTCTGTGTAGCCTTGGCTGTCCGGAACTCACTCTGTGGACCAGGCTGGCCTCAAACTCAGAGATCAGCCCGCCTCTGCCTCCCAAGTGCTGGGACTAAAAGCGTGCACCACTGCCAACTACAGGCAGTGAGCCCCAAGCCAACAGGAAGCGAAGGGACACCACCACCTCACCTGTGGGGGTGTGCCCGGAACCACCGCTGTAGCCTCCTGGACTTTGTAGCAGGCCACCCGAGCGGGCGGGAGACTGGCCTTTGCCGCTCCCACACAGCCTAGGTTGCCCATCCTTCTGCCTAAGCAGCTGCAGGGAAACGGCCTCTCCGCGCCTTCCCTTTTGGGTCTGTGTCTTTGTTCTTAGGCAGTCAAGGGCCAAGGAGCCACTGGGTCCTGGAGTGTCTGTGGGGCTTACGCCTCTACTACAATAGCCAGGCTGGACGGCTGCTGGTGCTCCCCTCCACAGTGGCAGCTGACTGGAGTCAAGGTAACAGAACGGCAGCTTGAGCCACATCCTACCCACGCCGTATCCACGCTCCCTCCGCAGTCCTTGTTGCTGCTGCGTGGTGAAAGCCTCCTAATGTTGCAAGAGGGACACAGGGTCACAGCCTGAAAGCCTCGGGCCTGGAGCTACACTGGTAGCCATACATCCTGTATCTCTGTCAAGGCCACCATGGGCTTCACAGGTGCCATCTGTATAGCACACTCACGGCTGGGCAGATGAAGGGGCCATCTTGGATCCCTCCTCATGAAGAATTTTTTCTTTTTTCAAATGTGTATGTAGGTATCTGTGAAGGCCAGAAAAGGGTGTCCAGTCTCCTGGGGCCAGATTTAAGATGGTCATGAGCCACCTTATGTGAATGCTGGCATCCAAACTTGGGTCCTCCGAAGGAGCAGTAAGTACCCTTAAACACGGAGCTTTCTCTCCAGCCCTAGAAAATTTGTGAAAACTAAGTTGTAAGGTGCTGGGCACAATACATACCTGCTATCCCTGCCCTTGGGAGGGCAAGGCAAGATGCTGAGGTCAAGGCCAGTTGGCTCAATTTAGGAAGGCCCTAAAGTGGATCAGGGGAGTATCCTGGCAGCTGACTGGAATCCATAGGTGGGCTCTGCAGGGAGTTGGTTTGGTTTGGTTCTTTGAGACAGTGTTTCTCTATGTAACTCTGTCTGTTCTGGAACTCACTGGGTATATCAACCTAGCTTCAAACTTGGAGATAGCCACCTGCCTCTGCCTCCCCACTGTGGAAATTAAAGGTTTTCAAAAACATGTGTTCACCTGTTTGGGGCAGACTGGCCTCTGAAGCACAGCAATAGGCCCCATGTCCTGGCCTCCTAAGGGCTGAGGTCATGGATACCAGCTTCTGTGCTCAGCTTTAGTGTTTAAAGTGCATTAGAAAAAAAAAAAACATCCCCCAAGGTTAATTAGGAGAAAGCTAAGGGGTCTTAGGGTGAAATCCGAGCCAGGCAGCAGCTGCACCGGTACGACTTGGAACTGTGCCCAGATGCCAGGCACACAGCAGCAGGTCCTGGCAGAAAGCACGGCAGGCCACCCAGGAAGAAGAGGGCTGCAGGAGGGTGAGACTGTGGACGGGTTACTTTATTTCATATAAAATCACACTGAGGAATTGAGAAGTCAAGTATACTCAGCTTGGATTTGCCGCCACAGACTCCGCACTGGAGGGCGACACCACCAGAGCCTGCATGCCCAGACACATGTGCAAACGAATGCAGAGACAATCTGAGGCCACACTGTCCCTCTGCAGTGACTCGGGCCCCACAGTTTGCTCACTGCATGAGGGCCAGGCTCACAGGTCCCTGGGGTTCACCTCAGTAGCACAGGAGCCCAGATTAGGGCAGGGCACAAGCAACTGACACCAAAAGAACAGTCATGGTGTCACAGGGACAGAAAGGCAGCTGGTCCCAGCAGGGAAACACTGGTGTCTGCGTGGGAGAAGACTCACAGGAAGTCCCCAGCCTCTGTCAGGCCCGCTCTCACCCAGCAGCAAAGGAACAACCTACGAGTTTAAGGCAAGTCCCCGGAGGGAGCTGTGTGTGGACTAATTCTAAGCCTGCGCCAAGGCTCCACTCTGACTGCAGTGCCATGGGTAGAGAAATAGTCACCATGTCACAGCTCTGACAGCTTAGGCACCGGGCTGTCTCCCCCTGCAGCACCTGCCCAAAGGGGCCCAAGGCGGCTGGCTTCTCATGCTGCGCTCCCCACAGCCCCTCCCAGGCAGCACTGGGCCACCACCTTCCTTGTTGAGGGACTGATGCATGCTGCTAGTTCGGCTGGAACAACAAAACCTCAGCTCCACACCCTCCAACACTAAGTTTTCAGTGAAATAAAAGCAGGAGGCTGGGCCCATGCGCAGGCATGCCTGTTCTTTGGATCTGGACACTGTATGATACATTCATAGAAGGCCAGCAAGGGCCAGCAGTGCGTCCCACTTCCCTGAAACACTGGAGTCTGAAAGACAGCTTGTCTACCACACACGTGCCTGAACAACACTGCTGATCCTGACACATGCGCACGTATGCGGGCGCACTCACACAGACACAGACACACACAGATACACACGGATGAGCACACACGGACTTGCTGGAAGGGTCATAGGATGCCCATTCTGGGATAGCAGGGAGTGTTCTGGAAGCCGCCTTCGCCGTTCAGTGCTAGGTGCTGGAGCCCTCCAAGCCACAGGGTCGCTGTGGAAACCCCTTCCGGTAAGGAGTGTGCTGGGGATGGGCCAGCAGGACTCCAGCAGCTGCTGTGCTGGCTTTCTTCATGATGAGAAGCAGCTCCACCTGTGGGGTGCTCACGGCCCACGTGACATCCCAAGCGTCAGGATGGTGAGAGGATGGCCTCCCGGGGCCGCATGCTTCTCCTGGCAGTACACACGAGAAATCACAAGTGCCTGTGGCCCTAGGTCCCCATCAGCTGGCCAGCTCCATCTGCCCACAGGGCTGCTGTGCTTGCAGGCCAGTGAGCATTGAGATGTCTGCAGACATTCCTGCCCTGCAGGCTCACACAGAGAACTCGGGGCCTCCTTTCCTGGCCCTCATCTGCAGTCGCCTGAATCGGAAGCCAACAAAGGGGTTCATCCAGAGGAGGGAGGGGGGCCCCCCGAAGACAGACTTCATCCCTTCCCACCGCAGCCTTCGCTCCCACGTGGGCTTCTCACTCTTCAGCCTCTCGATCTCCTGGGGGCAGAAGGAGAAGCCACAGAGGCAGTGAGGAGAGACACTCGGCCAGCCTGCTGCTCTCCTCGGCAGCACGCGTCTACAGTGCCGCCACCAGGCCTCCAAAGCCTCATGGATGGAGCTGGGCACCAGGTGTACTCCTTCCTCCCTGTCTCACAGGCACAGCCAAGCTGCAGCCATCTACGTGGACCAGCCTCCAAGGCAGCCTGGCTGTGGCTCTTGACAGGCACAGGAGCCCTTCGAATGGGACCGATGCTTTACTCAGCCTATATTTAGGCAGCACCTACCCCAGGCCTGCCAGGGTACGCTGAGTGTTCCAGCTAGGAGCCAGCCTGGTTTTACTGACCTAAATAGATCCTGGGCCCAGAAACCACACCGTGCCAAAGGAGGGAGCAGCAAACACAGGCCTCTGGGGACCAAGGCTGCCCGAGACCCCACATCAGTGCATGTGTGCCATTCCTGCTGACAGTGCCGCCCCTCCCCACCCCCAGACCCTGGCAGGGACTCACTGTTTCGTCATTGCATATTGAGTGAATCTGGGTACCGAACATGACTGCGGTGAACGTGAAGAACAGAAGGCCCTCAAGGCACAGGAAGACCAACAGGATTACAGTTATGGGAGGTGAGAAGTCGCTGCACTCTGAGGACAAGAGCGAGGCGGTCAGTGTACCACAAGCACCCTCCACCACAGGCAGCGCTGCACGCGCACACCCCGGCACCCGCAGCCAGCTTCCTGGAAGGAATGTGCACTGCAGCACCAGCCCATTCAGGCTCTCCAAGAGGCTGCCCGGGACACTGCCCTGCCCAGCATAGCCTCACCACCCTTCCCGGCAGCTCTCTGGGGAGACCTTCCCTGAAGTTTCTTATTGCACTGGGGACCATACTCAGGGCTGTACAAATGCTGGGCAAGCACTCTACCCCTGAAAGCCCCTCATTTTGCTTTGACAGGGTCTTACTAAGTTGCCTAGCTGGCCTTGAACTTGTGATCCTCCTGCCGCAGCTACCTGAGCAGCTGTGCGGTTTCCCTGAGGCATGAGGCCACTCTGAAAGGGTGTTCCTATGTCCCTGCCTACACTGTGTGGCTGCAGGGGCTTTGAACGCTAGAGGCACTGCCACAGCAGCTCAGCCCCACTTGCCTTTCTGCACCTGCTGAGCAACGCTTGTCTGGGCTACACCTGCCTGGACGCCCCATCACGCCACGCCACGCCACGCCAGGACAGCTGTGAACAGTGATCAGCTAGCCAGAAAGCCAACGCAAGGCTGATGGGAACAGTGGTAATCCTGTCCCCTGCAGTGTCAAAAGTCTGTAAGTAGCTAAAATGAATTTTTAGAAGTTAGGCATGCACTGACTGAGGAAGTCCAAAGAGGAGGCTTCAACAAGTGGGCCGGATGGCAAGAGTGGAACTACCACATTCTGATCCTAAGAAATGTTAACTTCTTCCTGGCACAATGGCTTATACCTGTTACCCCAACACTTGGGAAGCTGAGGTAGGAGAATCGTTCCTGAGTTCAAGGCCAACCTGAGCTACGAAGTTAGGCCCTGATTAAAAAACAAAAGTAAAAAGAAGTAAACAACAAAAACCCCTTAGATTATTAAGAGTAAGGCTATGCTCCCTTCCAGGAGCCCAGCTCCCCACCCCTGTCCCCCCCTCTGCAGTGCTTTCAGGAATGACACATGGAATCTTAGTTACCTGTCCACTGCCCTCGGACACAGGAGATGAACTGAAGCCCACAGAGAATCAGAGCATGGACTGAAGACAGAGCTATGTACATCTAGAAGGAGGGAGACGGGTTAGCTGATTTCAACAATCTGTCATCCCACCCCCAATGGGGAAAGGTGGCATGGAAGAGTGACTTATGGGCAGTGGCAGCTGATCCAAGACCTCAGTGGATCAAGACCAAAAGTTACGTGGCAAAATAAGCAGAGGGGAAATGAGCTCTAGGATGGGGGCCCTGTGATGACAATGATGACTGGGGAGGGATAGACAGTCACCCCTGCCCTGTGCCCTGCATGTGCCAACACAGCCATCAGCCCTGGGAAGGTGGGGAGCCAGGTGCCTAACCCCCCTCCCCCAGTTCCACCAGGCTCGATGCAGCCTCCACAGAACATTGGTGCTCACGGTGAAGAGCACGAAGAATCTCTGGTTCTTCTCTCCCACGCAGTTGTTCACCCACGGGCAGTGGTGGTCCATCTTTCGGATGCATCGTTTGCAAATACTGCAAAGGAAAGGACACTTCAGGACCTTGTGCTCCAGGGGAAACCATAGTGACACCAGATGAAATCCAAGGTGGGAGAGGCTGGGCACATCCTTCGCACAGCACTCTGCCGACCTCTCCAAGCCTCCATGTAGCACAGGCTGACATCAAACTCATAATGATCCTCCTGCCTCAGCCTCCTAAGTGCTAGGATTACAGGCATGTATTGTGCCTTTTCCTACACTGTTTCACAAGCCTGACTCTGCTGCCAGCTTCGTTTCTGAAACCGTCTACATCACTGACTGCATCCAGCGAGCACTGTGGCAGCCATACTTGGCTCTGCTGGACTCCGTAATGACGCCACTCTGTCAGATGTATTTTTTTGCATGTCTCCCAAATGCACTTGCCATTCCAACAGCTTCCAAAACATCCCCAGCTCGTCTCTAATGGATCTGAAGAGTAAGTTCCCTGCCATAGCAGCTCGGGCCACTCCAGAGGCCCAGCTCAGTGACTCCTGCACTTGCACAGCTGGGATGTGCCCACCCTCCCCACTGCCACCCCAGCCCAAGGCCACTACTCTATCTCTGCCACCTGTGGTCTGGCTGGGAAGATGTACACCTTTCCGTACTTTCTCCACAGCCACGGGTGACAAAGCCCCGTTATGCTGGCTTTTCCTCCCTGGGGACCGCTGAACGGCCCTGCTCATCCTCATTTGCTGCTCCTGGAAATCCCATCCCATCAGGGGGACACTTCAAGGGGAGGTCACACTCCATCTTTGCGTACACACAGGGACTCAGTACAAATCCAGGGAGGCTCAACAGATTGCCAGACTGGAGCAGTGTCGCAGGCTCACCCACACCTGATACCAGCTCCCCTGTCTAAAATCAAGTCCTAGCACAGAAGGGCAAAGGACACACTATAGCAAGGCCAGTTGATGGAGCCCAGGAAAGGCTGACATTCAAAAGGCACGTGTTGTGAGCTGGGCTGTTTCACCTTTTTCTTATTAACTAGTGTCAGAAAGTGGGTCTACAGCAGCCTCGTTTAGTCTGCAGATCCTGCCAGGCATGATAAGGCAGCAAGCACACAGGGCCCTGTTTCTCCAGCTACAAAATTCACGTGCTGGCCCGTAGCAGACAGGCTGGGAAAACACGCTGAGACCCTATTGCTTCCTCTGACTGGTGCTCAGCTTGTCTCCTGCAACAGAAGCCTGCACTGTTGGCAGACTCCCACAGGACTGCAGGTGCTGCCTGGGCTACTCTGCTGAGCATGGAGGCCATACCTGCAGTGGTGGGCGCGCTCCGGCTTGATGCAGCAACACTTGGGGCACTTGTAGATCACCTCGCCTGGCTTCAGCTGCAAACTCTCCATGTACTCCTTCGTGGCGTTGCCTTTGGGGACAGCCCCCTACGCACACAGATTGAGTTGAGTTTGGGCGAAAGGGAGGCAGAACAATAAAACAAGGCTCAAACCATAATTTTAGCACTCATGAAGCAGAGGCAGGAGGTCAGCCAATGCTTCACAGGGCTTCCCTCCCTTAAACCCCCGCCCCCCATCTATAAAACATGCCCATAATCGCAACACTGGGGAAGCAGGTGCAAAAGGATGGCTGAGTTTGAGGCCAGCCTGGGCTACACAGTGAGATCTTGTTTCAGGACGACAAAGGCTTCTGAAGCCCCGAGTGTAAGTTTGAGGAAGGGAGTTCGTATGGTCAGAGGCCTCACAAGCACACTGTGCACCACAGGGTGCGTGCTATGACACAATTCTGTTCTCACCCACAGGCTGGCCAAGGCCACTGTGAGTCCGACATGAGAGAAAGCAAAGGCTTAGGCAGCCTCTGAGCCCAGACAGCCTTGCCTCCACCTCGGAAGACAACGCAAGCTTAGGGCAGTGGTTCTCAACCTTCCTGAAGCTTCGACCATTTAATAGTTCCTCATGTTGTGGTGACCCCCAACCACAATTACTTTGTTGCTACTTCATAACTGTAATTTTGTTGGTTATGCATCATAATGTAAATATCTGATACGCAGGGTTTGTGGCCCTCCAAAGGGGCTTTGACCCACAGGTTTAGAACCGCTGGCTTACAAGGAGCTGCAAAGCCAGCATTTCTCTCGTTATCTTCCTGGGAGGAGACTGACAGACACAAGCACAGCCACTCTGTATGCAGAGACCAGGAGTCCCTGAGCCAGGGCCACAGTTAATGCTGTAAGGAAGCTGAGAACTTCTCAGAAGCACAACACATGGCCTCATCGGCCTGCAGTGCCGTGGTGCCCTGGGGCGACTGCTCTCATGTGGCCTTCAGATTGCCCTCGCCAGAGGGAGCCCTGGCCACCTTCCCTGGATCTGGGTGGCCACAAAAAGGGTGTCTCAAGTTTCTGAGAAGCAGCCATCCCAGACCTGGAAGCTCTGAACTGAGCCTTCACCACACCAGGGACCGAGGAGCGGAAGTTCAGGTCTGCCTCTCCTCACAACCCAGCGGGAATCTGCTCCAGGGGAGCCCGGCCCACTCTTCACATTCGTGCTCATCTCTGCCAGTGCTGTGTGCTGCTCCTTGACCGCGTTAGGCCGTGCTCGAGGCAGAGATGCTGTGGACTCACCGGGTCAGTGAGCATGGTTCTTAGGTGGGATGACAGCGCGAGCACCGCCAAGCAGTTGAAGATGACTCCGTTCACCACAGAGTACCAGAAGTCTTTGGAAGGCAGCAGCATGACGAAGGTCACCACGAAGTCTGCATAGACGACGAGAAGCCACGTCATGACAGCACAGACCATGCCACAGCCATCACGGATGAACCACACCCTGTCTGCCATGTCGGCCTCAGAGGACGAGGAGGAGGCAGAGTCGTAATTGTCATTGTCGGTCAGGAGAGGATGGTGCTCGATGTCCCGGAGCCTGTGCCCTGACGGCTGCATGATTCCCTGACACTCCCTGCAGAAGGGGTGAGAGCTGGTGAGGCTCCTGGGCGAGAACACACACACACACACACACACACACACACACACACACACACACACACACA